TTAAACATAAATAACTTAAAGACTACTAAAGATAAAAGCCTGAAACTTCTCATGTTTCTTTTCTACAGTAGAAATACTTTGGGATACCGTCTTTAAATATTGTTATGCCATGAGGCAACTCTTGTTGTGATTTGGCAATATACAATTAAATAAAATACAAATAAAACTGAATTTTCATTATCAAAATGAACCAGAATCTGTCATTTGGGACAAATGTATTAAAAGAATGTCTAAATATTGGCTAGTTAAAATATGAAGACAAAAAAACCCTCCTAAGTCTCATATGTGACCACAACTTTGAACCGTAAAAGACAACTACTGATGTTTTTACAAAGGTATAGTTGAATATAACTTTATTCAGAAGGAAACATGTAGAATACTAATAGGAAAATATATTTTCTAGTGCTTATTTGCTGTGTATTTTGTTTTATGCATTTAATAACAGGCCAGTATATTAGAGGCCACCTTTTAAGTTATAAACTGTGTCATAGGTCATTAGATTGCTTAGCCAGACTGAAACTGTGCAGAACAGGAAGCTTTGTACAGAGTTGCAGAGAACATCGCCTATTTTTATGCTGCTAAGAGAGAATAATAGGAAACAGCTTGGAGTGAAAGAGCGTTGATACTGTTAGTGACGTGCAAGCATACTGCCTTAGTTACAAAAATGGAAAAAAAAAATCCAGATTTCATTCAGTTTTTATACTGGATTTAAGCAAATCTGAAATAGAACAAAATATGAGAGTTTGCAGATGATACTCTAATTATAGTTCTAAAAATTATGTAGTTAAATATGTGCATATTCTTCATTTTCGAGACCTGGGTCACTCCATCTCAAATGATCAAACTTTTAGAAAATTGTCTCTTCCTCCGCCTCTGATTTGCACTAAAAAATGTTATGGTTCAAAGTTTGAATATACAATAGATTCTGTTAACGACTGCTGTTACTTTTACCTTCATATATCATATGCCTTTTTATTATGACTTCCTGTGTTATAATAACCATATATATATATTAGGGGTGCAACGATACACAAAATTCACGGTTCGGTTCGGTTCGATACTTTGGTGTCACGGTTTGATATTTTTTCGATACAAAAAAA